TACTCTCCAAGGTCGTCTTAGTCCCAGTTTACAGAGACTGGCACTGAAGCCAGGGGCGTGATCACAGACTGGAAGTTAGAACCCGGGTCAGTCGGTTTCTAAAGCCTATGTTACCACCCCCACCCCAGCCCCAAGCTGACCTGTGTCAGGCACCACCCTCACCCCGTGTGGCGGACAGACTGCGCTAACGCTAACGTGGTGAACGGCAGGCAGGGGCAGGAGGAGAAAAACAATACCTCAATCACTTCCCACCTCTGTGGACATCCTTGTTCTCACGCAACCAGCTTCGCGCTTTGCCCCTAACTGTCCTTCGCGTGGGGGGACCCCAGAAGGTAAAGCAGGGAATAAACATGCTTATTTCACTGACTGTCTGACTTGCACTTTCAAAACCATTTCTGTGTCAGACTCCATCACTGCGTGCCCCTACTGTGCGCCCCGTGTTAGAGACTAAGACGGGGACAACCTTACCGGGTAATCGGATCGGCTTCCAGGGGGCGGAGTTGGGCACGTAGGCATGCTTCGTGGCCGTGACGATCAACTGACTGCCCAACTTATACTGGAACTTGATGAAGGCGACGCCATCTGTCCCTGAGGTGCCAGAGGCGATGGAGATCTGGTTGGTGAAGACCTCGATGAGGGCATCCGCCACCGGCTGATGGGTGCTGGCGTCGCTGACGTGCACCTTCAGCGTGACCTCTGGACACAGAAAAAGCAACAAAGAAGAGCTGCCATGAATCGCGAAACATCCACATCCCTAGCGACTCCGCTATGATTGCGGCGGGAGGCTAGAGGTTGGCTGTGCTAAGAAATCCTAGATCCACAGCCAAAATAGGAATAATTCTAATCTGGGGCATTCTCTTCTGGGAGGTCTCTTTTTACTTCGCACAATTTCCTATTATCTTCAGAGCAGTCCCAGACTGCTTTTGTCTTTACTCCTTCCTGCTCACACCAACAAATAACTGAGAGAAAAATTCTATTCCTTTAAGACAGCGGGCGACAAACACAATACTCTTTCAGCAGGGTTCACGGTGCCGCAGTGGGGACCCGGCAGGCTGTGGGATTTGCAGCCGTGTTCAACGTACGGGTACACGTGGACAGAAGTCACTCGGGACCCTGCCGCCGGTCATCGCGGAGACAAGGCTGAAAATCAGTGAGAAATATCTTTAAAAGAGAGGACCCCAAGAGTGGGGTGGGCAATTGTTTATGCTTCTCCAGGCCTCAGTTTCGCCATCTGTAAACTGGGAATGATAACGATGCATATATCAACATACAGGTGGGAACATTTAGCATAATGGCTGGCAGAGTAAGCACCAACGCAAGCTACTGCCCTCGTATTATTCCAATCTTGATGCTTGCAAGAGTTCTGTCACAGTGTTCCAAGATGCCAGGAGGGAAGCTCAGAGAAAGGCGTCAGAGGGGAGAAAAGTGTACAAGAGGGGCGAGACAGCCCTCTCTGGGAGTATTAATACCTTTATATCCAAAGCTCTGTCCTACACCGGGGCAACCACACTGACAATGTCTTTTGTGTTGAGAAGCTCCACCTTGGTAACTTGCCAACTATTAGTCACATTATATACTAAAGCAGCCTTTCCAATATCACAGATTTCAGTTAGTATTTTCTCACCCATTTTTTCACACATTGATTTAATAAATTTCTTTCTTTCTTTCTTTCTTTCTTTTTTATTTCAGCATATTATGGGGGTACAGATGTTTAGGTTACGTATGTTGCCCTTGCCCCCCCTCCCCCAAGTCCGAGTTTCAAATATGTCCATTCTTTGGGTGGTGCGTAGATTTAATAAATTTCGTGAGCAGATGACCCCAGAGAACATCTAAAGAATCCCAGACTGAGGAACTATAGGTGTGTACCAAACAAGTCTCTCAAAACCTTCTAGAAAGAAAAAAATTCATGCTACAGGAAGTAAACTTGGCTGATTCATGCCACAGGAGGAGGAAACTAACACCAAACAAGGGATGAATCAACATCATGAAAATCAAGGATGTGATATTACAAAACACATTTCACCAAAGAACTCCGATCTCAGTTATCTTAATGCGGACCTGTAGGACATACACCACACTCACATTTTCAAATTTTCTTTTTTTTAAAAAATTACTATGGGTACATAATAGTTGTATCTCTATACAGGGTATGTATGATGTTTTGATTCAGATATACAATGTGAATTAATGAAATCAGGGTAATTGGGGAATC